TAAAAACAAACTCTTAGTCTGAAAAAAAAAACATTCTTAAACCTGTTTAGACTTACGGACTTGACCGAACGCATCCAACCCTTTTAGCCTAAATTCCTTTGAAAAATATTCAGTGCTTCATGTTACGTTAAAAGCAAGACCTTACATCACGATATATTGATTTGGGTGTGTGCGTGTGTATGTATATATTAAATATATAAAATTCATTTTTTTCTAATTTATTTATTTATTGAATATTACAACATTCTGTAACATAGACATTGGTTATAGTGAAGTAAGATCAGATTCACACTATATGTGTAAAAATAAATGAAATAAACAGAAGCAAAATAACAGCTAATAAAAAGGTATATACAATAAATAAAATAAAATAATTTTAAAATATTGAAATTACAAAAAAAAAACACATACATACCCAAACTACTTACAATCAGTCGAGGGAACTCCGAGGCAGGCTTGTCGCTCCAATTATGGAGAGAAAAGCAGGATTCCAGGAGTTCCCTGCGATATTCTCTCAACCGCGTCACTGGTAGTAAAGCCAGTGGAGAAGATAAAATAAATTAAAAGTAAAAAATGGCTTTGATGACCAGTGCAGATTTACGCCTTTAAAACACAGCAAACAAACGATACATTGGTTTATTATATTACTATTTTTTTATCATTATCTTATTATTTCTTTACCCCGGTGCTAAAAGACCCATTATCCATTCTTTTAATTAAATAATTTAGTGACTAAATTCTCAAGGCTCAAAGTTATGGAAAATTAGATCTCTGAACAAATACAAAAATGCGACATGATATTTTTTACCTCCAAGGATTATTTTTAATTTTTAATGCTTATAGATGGTAAGAATCGATAATTCAAACCTTCTGATTGTTGGTAAATGTGTGAGGATTGTATTATTTTTTCTATAGAAACTTTATATCTCTCAAAAATAAGGTAACGTGAAGAACTAATAGTAGAACATCGCAGACAGTTGCACTACAGAACTGGCGCCTGCAATATGGCAACCGATATAACCAATAAATAACAAGGCCACACGCTCCAAATTATCAGGAGTTGCAACCTTTTACTTCATCCCAGTCGCACGATCTCCGCTATATTGATGCCACCCCCGAAGCGAAGAAGATAAACGCGCATCACGGCTGACTAAATATAGAATTTGACAAATATATCAAATAGGCTAGCCAACAGCCTGGAGGGAATGTAATGAGCGGGTTTTAGCTGAGATAACAAATCTTCCGCCATTTGACGCTTCTCTTTTTTCGAATCGTGTCATAGTTAAAAGGATATTAAAGGGACTCCTGCTTCTTTTGTTTTAACCATCCAGATGGTTCTATCAGCGACGTCTGTGTGGTCCCTTCTTTTATAGCGGCGAATGTAACAGCGCGACCTAATATGGACATCGCGGATGTAGTTGCTTATATGAATCAATGTTTACGATTAGTGTACTTAATGGTCATCGGTGACCAATTAGGTGAGATATATGTAAGGTAAACAATCAACACATCGCTATAAACTCAGCTTATACAGTTAGGTGAATTTATACTTTCATAATAAAAATAAACTAGTTGGACGGTGAATAATTCACACCTTATGTCAGTCAGTTATTAAATATTAATTTTAAATTTATAAAGTATAAGTTTTTTTCTGTTGACACTATAACAGGCCTTGTAGATCTTTTTGCCGTCTTAACAACCTGTTCCATCTCAGCTTATCTTGGTCTATTTCTTTCCAGTTTCTTGCATGCGGCTCCATTGCATCTTTGTTGATTCGACCTATCAATCTACTTATTGACCTTCCACGTTTGAGGCTTCCAGATGGATCACTTCAAGCTGCATGCCCCGCTCATCTTAACCTCCTTGCCTTCAGATCACGAGATATTGATTTATCATTTTATGTAAGTTTCTTCTTGGTCTTTCTTCTCCATGTGTTAGTACTCTGATCTCAGATCGATAAAATGTAAGTAAATTCACTATATTTTGGGAAAGAGAAATTTACTTTCCTATACATAGAAATGGTGGTAAATGTATGTTTTGTGATGCGCGCAACTTAACAATTATCTTTATTTCTCAGTCGCTTACGATGGTTCATTTCTGAAAATAATAAACCTATATATATGAAAAAAAATTCAATAAAACTGAATCTTAGCTAATAATGAATGATTCGATATTAATGATTTTTTTTTTCGTTTTGTAATTAATTTATAAATCTTTTACACCATCACGGATTTAATAAATTCTAAATTGTATATTTGTTGAGTTATTTGCAAATATTGTTTTCATTCATGAATAACTTAATCTCCTGGTTTTTCTCGGGGGGTTTACTTATTTGTTGGTTATGAAGGAGAAAATAATCTATGATATAATCGCTCAATTATTGGAGTTGATGAAGTATTAAAGACGCCTAATAAAGTCTAACGATAAGTTAATATTCAATTTTGGAAAAAAAAAAGCTGAGAGTACAATACGTTAATTTCCCTCCACCGCCTAATTTTGAATTCAACTGTATCCCACTCACATTTGATTAAAATTGAATCGTGTAAAAACTTTTGGTATAAAATTTGGTATAAAAACGATCTCGAGCTTTATCGAAATAATATTTGTGGATATCAATATAAGTGGATACAACATGAACTAATAATAAAATAAATATTGTTGATATAATTTCTTCTACCTCTAGTTTGGATTTTATTCTATTTTTTTGTCTTATCTTTATTCCTTAATGAAACGTTGATTACTTATTTACATTTACTAAAGAGAATCAAGGATTTATGCATGAATGATTGAATAACACTTATTAAAATAATATTTATTTAAAAAAAATAAATTTACTCAAATAAAGTTGTTTTTATTTTTTTGTCATAGGAACTTAAAATATAACTGTTAAATCGCTTTAAAAAAATCATAATACTCAAATTAACATTTTTCAGCATCCTTGTGAAGAATTTTAATTGTTTTATCTCAAGAATGGGATCTTGAAGATTCCAACCCATAAGGCAGAAGATTTGGATAAAGTTGGCCCATAGTAACCGTAAATACTATAAGGGACTATCTGTCCATCTGGAATTTTTATCCTTTTAGAATTTTATATCCTCAAATGACCAAAGGAATCCTCGAGCTGAGAAGAAATATGATCGGGGTAGAGTCGAGTTATTTCAAACAGGTGTTCGGAATGAAATCCAGCAACGTCCCGTAACATATTTTTCCAAATTGTGGCTTCAATTAATGATTTTACTATTCAAAGATATAATTTACGACAGAATATTTTTTAAAAGTACTCATAAATATACAATGAAATTTTTATGAGGTTAAATTTAAGAACCAACGGTGTTAGTCCGCATTATTACCCAGATTATTCCTTCATATGATTGACTAGGTTTTTATAACATACATTTATTTCTTTAATGAGCATCTGGAATGTTCCTGGAGAGGTATAGGTTTCGAGTCATTTTCCGTCCAAAATGCCGTTTGTTTGTCAATATTGGTCCCACCTAATTGATTTTTTTATTTGATTATGAGCTATACGAGAATAAAATTAGTTTTAAAGTTCTATAAAAAAAAATTAAAACAATCAATAAAGTAGATGCGTTTAAGAGATAATCGATAGTGACAATTGGCCGAAAGTACGTTTTGTGGTCTCGGCAATGAAACTTAAAAGATTTTTTGGGAACCAGGTACTGAAAATTTTAAACCGATTACAATAACTTTCTTTTCTATTAAGTAAAAGGAAAACAATATATATATATATATATATATATATATATATATATATATATACATATTATAATCTCTTAATAGGTATCAAAGCGGAGGACTTCCAGGATTTGAGGAAATAGTGAAATAGATAAATTTGGGAAAATATTGAAAAATGTAAAAAAAGCTTGTCCCACCAACTACCCATGAAGGGTTAAGGGTTCAGTACAGTGCGAAGAAGTAGCCAATATCACACTCAACCGCCAGGTTTTCCCCCTTAATTAATTATCTAACTGAGAGTAACCATTTTATAGAGCCTGGGTTTGCTCCAGGAGGGTCTCCAAACCCAAGGGTCGAGACACGGCAGATGAAAAATTACCAGTCATCAGCCAGATTCGAACCTGAGATCTTAAGCTTTGGAAATCTGTGCTCACCCACTGAGCAACTTCACTCCCTTAAGATTTAGCAAAAAAGTAAGAAACGGACAGAAAAGAAAAAGACCTGCAAATTGTTTGTTTGTTAGGGTTTTAAGGCGTAAAACATCAGGACCATCAACGCCTGAAAATTAATTTTGTTTTCTCGAACCTAGAAATGATGTATGCGTGGTCTATCGTTGGCTTGCATCGCGATAAATAAATAAATATATATATAAAACTTAAAACTAAAACAAATAAGAATTATATTAGAAATATTTTTTAAAAGAATAAAGAAAATTAAAAAAAAAAACACTCAAAACAAGCCGAGTAAAACAAGATTTTAATAAGTATATCATCACAGGGATCAGAAAGTTGAGAATGAACAAATTATTTCATGTTGTCTTTGAACTAGACGAGGCCAGTCTCAGACGCTTGTGTATTATCGTAGAAATTTCGAAAAGAACACACGCCAAAAGTGTGACAATAATGGACAATCTGCAGAATATTCGTTATAAGAGAGTAATACATTTCAACAAGTTAAGGACTGTAAAAAACTTTACAAGTCAATAAGTATCATAACCCTAAATAAAGTTTAAAGAAGAACAAAATATTTTTCATCATGCAGATTTGATCTTTGTTCTTTTTATGATTCTTTTGCAAATTGGTCAGAAATATACTTTTTTTTTACGATGTCGTTATTGTCTAGTTCATCATCATTTACTTCACTTATTTATTTCTGATCAATAGGCAAATGAATAAATATAAGTAGAACAAAATATCTGTACTGAATTTAGTAATCATTTTAAATTTATTGTTTTGCATGCGAATAGCTTAGGAATAGATGCTTGAACTCAAATAAATACCCATATTAATTTAATAATTACCTACAAGGTATTTCCTGATGAGTTATGGAATAGCCCTGATGCTGCTACATCTCAACGCGAGCCGATCTTCCAATGTTGTGGGTTCTCCTTGACGGAGTCCGAGCATGAAGAGAGAGGTCGTTGGAACCATGGTACTACGACCCTGTAAAAACAGTAGGCTTTTATAGGTAATAATAAATTGAAATATAAAATATTATTAGGAATAAGAAATCTACCAGGCTGTTTATAGTATAAAAATCAATATCTCAGAGTGGCAGGATGAAAATTCGATAGCCATAGCCAAAGAGAGAGAGGTGATTAAGGTTTGTGGAGCAAAGTCAAAAAAGTTTCGGTCTGTGTTAAAATGAACCACTTTCACAATACCTTTTAAAAATAATTCGTGTCATATTGTATAATCATTTGTTTAGAGAATATGGAAAATTTTAAAATTTATGAATTTAAACTAATCAACCCGTTGTACACGCTGCATGTCGGGTCAGCCTACCATATGAGGACTGACAAAATAAACAAACCAATAAGGCTAAGATGAATTTTAAATACACATGAGGCTGGTAGGAATATCGTCAGGTGTTTTCAAAACAAAACGGATACATAATTTATCCGGGAACAGCTCCCGCTTGTTAGGAATGCAAATCAAAACCGTTTTCCCCGATAAGTAATGTTGAGCTAATTGAAAGGGCTGTAGTCGGCGGGGGAATGTTGGATAAATTACCGCTGTTAATTCTGATAAAGCGTTGATTTTAATTAGGAGCTTCGCCTCGATCCGGTGTAAGCCCCGCCGGTCTAAGTCATGCCGGTGTAAGCCATGCGTTCCTGATCTATTCATTTTTCAATAAATCGTTAAGTAACGACAATGAGTACTTGATCACCTATCACCATAGGCAAGAAGGATCAGGATCAAGAACATTCAAATGACATTATTTTCTATTGCCTTCTATTCTGTTCCTGTGCTCTAACCACAAGCTGGTATATATCACCAGATTATGTAGCCTAGAAATCCTCAATTTTATTATTAGTCCGTGTTACAGACCCCTTTTTATCGAATTATTAACATCCCCCTGAAACTTCGTAAATAGCTTCATCTCATCGTAACCTACAACTATTTTATTTATGAAAACTCTTGAAATTGGGGTGTTTTCAATATGGAGGGAGGCAAACTTTGTCTATTTAATTAGGTATTAAAAAATCGTAAATATCCATTTGCTTTCTACTTAGATCGGAAGATAATTTGATAACATAATCGAGAAAAAATGTGACTTTCAGAAATATTGAGCCGTTTGGCGTGACATATACCTCCAAATTTTCAAAATAACGAGGTTATATAGGACAAACGGACCAATATTTTTGTAGGCCACCTTTTTTCTCGATTATTTTATCAAATTATCTTGCGATCTAAGTGGAAAGAAAATGGATATTTACTTGAGTTTTTAATACCTAATTAAATAGACAAAGTTTGCCTCCCTCCAGATTGAAAACGTCCCAATTGCAAGAGTTTTCGTAAATAAAATAGTTGTAGGTTACGATGAGATGAAGCTATTTACGAAGTTTCAGGCGGATGTTAATAATTCGATAAAAAGGACTATATATCTTGTCAGCCATTTAACGGTTATTAGCCAAGGGCACCATTTTTTTTTCGTAGTAGTATATTGTTAATATAACAATGGGACATCCTATATTTCGAAACAAATATCTTTTTATTTAACCTAACAATAGAATAAAATTTGAAACCATCTCGTTATCTTTTTTTGTTATGCCCCTACAGCTCACTAAAGAATGACGTCAAAATCATCAGTCGAATGGTAATTGGAATAGAGGAAATTTCAAATCATTGGTTTCTCTTCGGCTTTTTATGTTTTTTGGTATGCTGAATCTGAATTAATTCCCTAACAAAATTTTACTTTGCTTTCCGAGATACGCAAAAAACCAGTCAAATTTTTCACTAAAATCATTATTTAGTTTTCGGGTATGACTCCAAAACTATGCATTCTATCGAAATTATTACTGCATGCAAAGTTTACTATAAATTTCATAAATATTTTTTTTATATAGGACCAACGGGTGAGGAGTTAGAGCACGTTCACCGTTTGCTTATTTCACAAGAGATATCTGTTTTCGCCAGTTTTCCCCCAAAACTCATAATCTATGGATCTCTTGAAGGAATTCATTATATTCAATTTTAAAGAGCATTAAATTTCCTATGCATCTTATTTAAGCACATTAATATGTGAGATGGTTAAGCGCCCAAAATTCCTGAGTTATCTAAACTTCTAGGAGGAAAAAAAGTGGTTATTATTAAATATGGAAGATTGGAAGCAGAAGAGGCTCCAACATATGTTCGGAAAATTTGTACGAAATGATATAATCCAACATTCTAATTAACATACCTCTCTTAATTAATAAATCTTATCAATTAGAATAACATTTTGGCAATTTCAAAGACGACTTCACACGTTCATTGTCAAGTTGACTGGAACCGATTCTCATAGTGACTTGTCCCTGTTCCTTGGGTTTGGTCATGAAAGGACCCGGACTATAGTGACAGGAGAGGCAGGTGCCAGTACAGGTACTATATTTACCCCGCAGTGGGGACTGCGTGGAGGCGGAGCGGACCTCAGTCAGTGCCGCCCCATCGCTCGCCAATAGCGTCTGTGATTGTGTCTAGTTCTTTGATCGGAGTACCTCTCTGTCATAGGATACCTTCGGGAGGTGAGTGTCAGAAATTACTTAGTCCGTGTTTCTGCCAACTTAGCCATGATCCTTTAAGTGATCCTAGCCTAATTTCACCCAATTGACTTCAATTACAACTTGAAGTAACACCAATCGGGAATATAAATTCATTATAGTAATCCATTACCCGGACTGGCTATCTTAAGACTTAGCTCGCGGAGCGATCGGAAAGTTGACTGTCTTGTTGAAGCCATGACGAGGGATGATTCATGATCCGTTGAGTCGTTGACCTCACAACCGCTCCCTTCAATTTCCAACCTCAGGTGATTTCTTCAACCCAATCTCCATCATTTGATTAAATTGTTCCCAAAACGTCCAGAACCTGACAGTCTCATAGTAGTTGATGTGTTGTTGAAATCACCCTTCGTATTCATCTTAACAAGAACTACATTACAATTTAGCATAATCGATATTTCCTCCTAATGTCCGATTCCTTCTGGATAAAAATAAAGTATTTAAAATTATCTAGATGTAGATAAACTTTTTTATTTTCCGAATAGTGTATTGCCACATAAGGAAATGTTTCATGATAATTATACAAAATCACTTAGTTGTGTCAATTGAAAAACATCCAGTGTTACAAGGTTTCTTTACAAATTACTCTGTAAACGCTTAACTCGATATGTTAATCTGATTACTTTTTTTTAATTTCTTTTTTTAAACTGGGACAACTTTATAGTTATTACTACAATATCAGGTTTACAATACATCTTTTCAGGGTACAATTTAAAGTCATTATTAAGAGTATTAATTTAAAGTTATTAAACAGTGATTTTATTTTAATAATTGCTATCTAATTGACTCCTTTTATCACATTTTTTTTTATTGAAACTAAAAAAAAATGCGAAACTAATTATAAGGTATATTTTTTCATTTTTTCAAGTATATTTTTTTTTTACTGCAAAATATAATTCTGAAAAGCTTATGTTAAGTACCTAGGCTTATGTTCAAAGTCATATAAATATTATCTGATGTTTATTAGACTTGTGTCGGATAAATATACCTGTGGATCGCTTCCCCAATTAAAGTGTTGAGGGAGCAAGAATATCGTTTCGCTCCTTCCTCCTCTTATAATTTGAGGCAAACAAAATTAAAATCAATAATAAATAAAGGAATAAAATGTGTAAACTAAAATCAATTAAGAAAAGTCGACTAGCTAGTAGCTAGGCTAGGGCCTAATCGTAGAAATGTAAATATTTTATTGATACCTAAATTCAATATTGATTTTTTATTTAAATTGTCATTTACACTGAAAGATAATAATATACAGGATTTCCCGTAAGCAAAGGAAAATATTTAAACAGGTAATAGTAGATCTCTAGAACTATCAAAAACTTAACAATAGTCCAATTTTACGACAGAATGGTAGGCAATTTAAGTTTTGAGTTTTTTTAAGCAATTCATAATTTTTCATGAATAGGGAAGCGATAACTAAAACATTATTTAATATAATTAATTAACAATTGCTTCAATGTAAATTAGACATAATTTGCTTCGAACGAAAGTAGAGTCTGTTATTTTTAATATTGAAAAAGATTTTTAAACAAAAACTAATCTATATTGTGATACAAAAAATCATGAATTATTCACGATTTTTATTTATTACCATCAAACTATTTTCCAAATTTATTACCATACTATAGAGATCTCACTTTTATAAAACATTCTTGTTTAATAAGCTATAAGTCCATATTCATTAAGTTGCAGATCTATAACGAAATGAGTTGAGATTAAACTGAATGTGTGTAAAAAAAATGACGTGTTTTGATATCCTATCACCTTAGTGTACCCGTGTTTTCAACTAAAATTAGTACGAGAATTTATTGCATAGTTTTAATTTATTTTTTCCCATTACCTAGTATGTATTATCATAAACAGAAGTTAATAAATACAGTTTTTATTTATTACAAAAAAATGTTTGTTTGTTTTTACTCTCTTCATACTTCTATCCACACCTGTCATAGTATTGACAATAAGCAGATGTGATCTCGTTGTAAAGAAAGTTGGCATTTAGGGCATGAGGACATGATTAAAAAGGTTTAAAATAATGATTCTGGAATATTTATCATCTAAAGTGATAATAAAACATTTGTATTAGTTTGTTTTTTTATTTAGAACTTTATCATAGGAATTGATCGGTACTTATAAGTGTCTAATTAGACGTTTCCAATCCTAATATCTATATGTAAAATAAAGAACCTTTCTCATTGCTTGGTTTATTTTCACGTGATATTTACATTTTCCGCGGCGAACTAGCTGGGACTTTGAAAAATGTTTTATTTGAGGTTGTACACACTAGAAATAAAAAATATTTTTTACTTTTTCACATCATTCATTTTCAACTGAAAAAGTTTTAGAAATGTGCCAATGTTATGAAGGCTGTTTCTCCTCTCCTGCTTAATCTAAACATTATTGTCCCTTTGACAGAATATTATATGTCTAAATAAATAAATTAAAAAAAAAATTAAACAAATATGTTATATATTCAATTGTATTATTTAAAGATATTTTCTAGTACATATAAGTGAAATAAAATAAAATCTTTACAGCTATACAAACATGTAAACAAATAAATTTTAAATATTCAATATCATATTTGTTCGTGAAATGTCATATTTTTACACTTAATAAAAACTCTCGCAATTTTTTTTTTTTTTTTTTTTTAGTCCATCTCTCTCCTCCCAATCAAAATCGAAAGTCCACGCCTATGGTCAGAAGCATCAATGTCTGTATTCCAAATAATTAACAATTCTTCAATGGGAAACTAATATATGTTTTTGGAAATATTCAATGAAACATCATCAGATCTCACAAATCGCTAATTAGTTTTTTATTTAGGAGCAGCGTTGAATAGTTTGTTAAGTAATTTATGTTTCGCATAAAGTAAAATATTTCCAATATTCATTGAAACCCTAAATGGCTAATGACGAAACCTAAGTTAAAAATAAGTTAAATAATCACTTCATGAATTCTAGGGACTATTAATAGCGAGCTCCGATCAAATGAATCACAGACCATCTTGGATTGTTTTGGAAACTGTTTCTCAAAATACTTGACTAAAGAATTTTAAATATTTATTTTTTATTTTATGATAATAAT